GAATTCTCCTTTTGCTAACCACTCCGGATAATGTTCATAGATGCGTTTGGAAAGTGTGCGCTTTATTCGGCCAATATAACTGGCTCCACACGCGCAGGTGAATTTATAAACACACATTGAGTTAGTTCAAGGCAGTAGTTTATCCTTCACACATCCATTGATCATTTATTGGCTCCAGAAATTGATAGGTAAATGAAATTACCACTCTATACCATCTAAAGATGATTTTGTCGATAAAGAAAATTTCTTTCACCTTAATTTGTCTTTTATTTTCCACATGACTCAATGGGTATTTTCGGTGATTTCAGGGAGAAATGTTATCAGTATCTTATTGGTCTTTTTGAATTCTTTGTTAAATATACTTATGGTTGTACAGCTTATCGAAATTTATCATCGGAAATAAAATCCTTTTTGCTGCTGACGTCTTTTTCTATAGATTTGTAATAGTTGTATAGTGTATGGATAATGTGTAGCTTCCGTTATTTATCGGTGATATATTGAGTAGAAAGCGCCAAGATGTTGCAAATCACTTAGGCAATATGATTGAATTATGTACTCATCAATGCGTCAGAACCGTTTCACGAAGGGATTCGAAGATATTCATTGTCTCTTAACCGAGGTAGGCGAAATGATGCTTCGACTAGAATTAGTTTCGTGACAGACAGCTGCTTCATCCAGTTTAGTACACCTTTCAAGAAGGATAAAAAAATGCAATACAACAAGTTACTGTCAACCATATTAGTTATTATTGAATTGAATTTTTGATTTTCCCGTCGATTGATTGGACCGAAGTGCTCGGTCTCAGGTTGACATGTCGGCTTCTTGTGCAGATGATTCGACGATGTCTGGGGATTTGATTTGTATACAATTAGTGGATGGTGGCTAGCAGTGGAATCCAGGATGCGCATTTCGTCCTATTTGGGACTCGTCATCTGGATGTACCTGCATTTCTCAGTGAGTGATGATGTTCCCACCGAGGCTTGAACCCAGTACCCATAGTTTCGAACGCCAAAGCGTTATCCACTAGACCACTTGGGCCACAAGAGCCACCTCTTGTGCAACGGGTCATATTATTATTATTGAATTGCACAAGAGGTGGCTCTCGTGGCCCAAGTGGTCTAGTGGATAACGCTTTGGCGTTCGAAACTATGGGTACTGGGTTCAAGCCTCGGTGGGAACATCATCACTCACTGAGAAATGCAGGTACATCCAGATGACGAGTCCCAAATAGGACGAAATGCGCATCCTGGATTCCACTGCTAGCCACCATCCACCAATTGTAAACCATATTAGTTAGTTGATTAGGTATATCACCACACAGTGAGTGAAACAGTATTTATTATTCCCTGAATGACAAGGTTTCAAACACGCCTTATCAGTATTCATTATCGTCTCATCAATTATAATCACATGACTTTGAAACTTGAGTTTTATAGTTTGCTTTGTCCTCTCCTATTTGTCGTTGTCGGGGTAGTAGAATTTTTCAGATATCCGCCTGGACAGGTGTTGAATCATTCCTTTTAAGCTTATTCTCTCTCAGTTGTTTCACTAAACAAAGCTTCTGCTATCAATCTCTCTCTCTCCACACTGCTACTAAATTAGATTTTAAAACTGTCATCTTATCACACCGGTCCTACTGTATGGTTGTGTGTAATTGTATGTATTGAGGGGTATAGCTGAACTATTCTCTATATATCTTATCTTATTCGGGTCAGCTAATCTAGATATAGCCGCTAGGTTTTATGCTCGGCTAGTCTCACTGACTGCACCTGTTCTACTACTTTGACCTATGATAGATCAAAGAAAACCATAAAACTCAAGTTTCGAATTCTTGTGATTATAATCGCTATGATTATGAACAATAAATAAATTGTGTTCCATACGTCAATATCCTGTCAATGATGCTGTTTCACTTTGTGATACATCTAATAAACAAAATAATATAAAATTACTTACTACCACAGTGCTCAAGTTTTACACATATGAATATCGCAATCACAGATTTTAAACCGGTTTATGCCTAATGCAAATAAGAGCCATATTGTAATGAAAGTGAAATGAAGAGAAAACTGTGTATTTCACGTAACCACTAACCTTATATGCGAGATAAAAATCTCAGACAATTAGGTCAAACTGACATTTACTCAAAAATTAAGTTCACCTTGTGTCTTGGACGACACAGGGGGCTTCGTACTTCCGTTTTGAGGTTTCAGTGGCGATGGTATCAATTTCACAGGGTGCAGTTGCTAACTTCACACCCCTTCTACTCTTTATTCCTCAGGTTAGCTACCGGCTAAACACAAGATGAGGTTCAGGAGTTCGTTGACCGACATCGGACCATACACTAAAGGGAACAGTTTGGTTTGTGGATAAAGACTGCCTTTTTTGATACCTTCTCCATCAGATTCTACAGTCATATACCTTGATAGTTGGGTTATAATAATTGTTATTGCCATTAATGTTTTCTTAAAATAACAGAGGATCCAGAAAATAAGTGGATTACAGTTCGGAAGTATCTGTAAGTGATGATGATATGCGTAGGACACTAAGTTAAAATATCAGATAAATCATGCGAACTATTACATAGCCTAGGAATTTATAAGTTCCCCACCTGGTCATTATAACAGTAGTGACTGTACGTGTTCCTTTTGAGCGTTGACTACCGGTTGTATTGAGTGAATCCCAATGAATTGTGTTCTTTTTGGAATATTTTTGCAATTTATTTGGCACCCAAAAGATGGTCAAGGAAGATCCCTCAATTTTGAATTCATGGCCTTCTTTGATTATGTGACGTAATACTTAGCAGTTGACGGTTTGGCTGCATTTCACATCCTATAGTAACATCCAATGTGATCTAATCACTGACTGTTAAACTTCTCCTCACCTCCAGCATAAGTAGCAGTGTGGCATGAACTCCTAACAAGATTTGTCAGTAGTATATATCTAGAATCATTCATCGGCACAGAAAAATATCGATTACCGGAGAGATAGATTTGATATCAAATAGAGTAAATGAATCAGTAGTACAGCAAAAACTGTGCGAGACACGAAATAAGGCAAAGAAAGATAGCATAGAGGGCAGAGATAGCACAACACGGAAGATCTGTGCAAACGATGATTTTCATATAAGGTGTACATAATTCCACTAAATGTGTATATCAAATCCCAAATAAACATTCCTTTACCAAGCCTCTTGTCTTCCACTGTTATAATGTAACGACAGAAGACAAGGGCGAGGCAACAGATCGTTTATGTAGATTATTATTTGTTATTTTTAGCACAGCAGGATCGTCTCCTGATTAGTTGTTTTCTTGCTGAAGATTATTCTGTACTGCTTGTGACCGTTTCCTAGAAAGTTAAGCCATATATCTGCGAATCGTATTTGCCCACGTTAAACCTGATATGATTGGTTGGTGAGTTCGTCAAGGTTAAGCTTTTTTATTGTGTTTTTTTTGCCCACGGCCCCGATTCGGGATGTAAACTGCTGTCTACAAATATGGCTTGCAACCAGTTCTCGTTACAATAATAGTAGTGCAGTAGTAATGTTGTAGAGCCTTAAAATAGGACGAGGGACCATCCAATATTTGTTGTTTTTCAATGTACTTCTAGCTGAAACTTGTTCTGCATAAAGACGCATCGAACTACTCGATCACCTGAGAAATCGCCCAACTAGATATGCTGGAAAAGTACGTTATTGGTTTTGATTGAATTATGACCCAAATGTTTAACTAGAGATAATTTAGTGAGTGGTGAGTGAAGCTGAACCAGGAATAGTGTTCTTGGAAGCATTAAAACCAGTACTATTCTCTTGGATTCAAACTGAATAAATAGTTTGTCACCATTTCACCCTGTCCTCTTCGGTCCATTTCAGCTGAACCCACAGTTGTCCATGAACTTCCATCCTCTACACGAACAACCTCCTCCATGTCAGACATGGATGCCCGACTGGTCTTTTCCTATTAGGTTCATTCACAACATATGTTCTACCCATCTTCACTCTCTTCTCCATGTTTGTTGGCTGATGGCTTTGCTCGTTGTTAGATTTCCTTAAATATACTAATGCTTTCCGGCATTATCTCATCTTCTTTATGGAGTTAATCCATCTATAGCTGCCAATCTGCAGTCTGTTTGAGAAAATTTCCGTGGTAATCCAAGTTGCTGAAACGTCCAGATGAAGTTCTGCTTTCACTGCTAACTCATCAGTTTTCACCTATAGATCTTTGAATTTGCATGACACTAGACATGAATAATCTTTGGAGTTCAGATCTTCCAGGATCTTTTTCCACTTCTTTGTCCAATGTATGACTGAACTGGAAGTTTCCGAATTTTAACTTAAATCATCGCCGACTGAGGCAGTAACAGTCTGTCAAATAAGGATTATTTCAGATAGTGTCATGAATAAATAATTTAGATTGTATATATTATTATTATTACCCATGAAGTATTTATGACATTTCAAAAGATAATTCACACGTTGCTATGGTAACTTTTGAGCAGAGGCGTAGGTAAAATTTGAACAGACTGGATTTCAAATCGTATTCCATTTCTAGTCAGCCAATATAACTAAATATGTCATCTAATTAACTCGATATGTATTCCTCAAATAAATGCAAATAAAATACGATAAGAATTTTAAAATTTTTACTATAAACACACAAAAATATCACTGAAAAATTGCTGAACATTGAAAAGTAGAATAAACAACACTGAAGCCTTAAATTTTTTGTATATATTCAATTCTAAACGACTCCAGTTAATGTTACACAATACTTTCTCTTCACTGATAAGAAAGCTACACATAAATGTCATTTACTTTTATTATTTATTCTATGAAATATTTTATACACATATTGTAAAAATACCATATTTATCCCTATTTTTTAAATCTAGCGCCAATTTCGGTAGAACTTTATTCTGATTGGTTAATTTAAATGCATTTAGCTTTCATCCTCTTCCTCTGTCTTTTTCATATTATTATTATTAGATTTTTTTAATATTTTATTTATATCACTTCTCCTCATTTACTATTTGTGCAAAAATAGTTTAGAAGGGAAACAAAATGATTGTTGGGTTGGTTAGTTGTGATAGTCAGACTGGTAGACAAATAAGATTTTGTGAAGGCATAACATTCACTGGAATCATAAGAGTATGCCACAATGAAATTCATTGTGAAGAAGAAGTAGACGAATCGAAATTTTGACTTGCTCTGTCATTTTTTTGTCTAAAGACAAGCAAAATGTTTTATAATATCCTACTGACCTGAAATCGACTCTGCGGGTGTACTACAAAGTCTTTGTGTGTTTTCGCGCGTATGTACAATTGTGTCATTTATAGCCCTAACTACCTGCCTGTCGTCTTCAAAAAAAAAAAAACATTTTTATTCTCTAATTGTTGAAAGACAACAGAAATCTTAAACGTTTGCTAGTTGGGACAGTTAATTTTCTCTTACGGATGGAATGTTATTTAGTTATTATTTAAACTTTATGTGTAACGTGGTAGCTAAATTCAGATGAACACACGCACATACTACTATTAGTACTATATATTAGTATTATTAATCTTACTTCCCAAATCAGAAACACATTAAATACAAAAAGGGACAATTCAAAAACGGAGTACTATATACACTGTTCAAAACGTTCAATATTAAATGTTTTTAAGTATGAATCATTCTTAAATGTGAATCAGAAAAGGAATTAATCAACTGCTTTAAACAATCCCTTTTCTCTAAGTAAGTAAAGCCTAATTATTGATTTTAATATTGTTATTATTATTACTATTGTTATTATTATTATCATCATCATTTTTGTTCCCTTCTATTCTGGGAGGAACGTAAGGCTCTTCTCTGCAGTCCTCCTTAGCTGGTTCTATGATCATCAAGTAAGCTTTCATTTTCTTCCCTGGAAAATCTTCTTCATGTAACCCTTCGAAATGACGAACTAAGTAGTCGTTTTTCATTCGGGTCTGATACTTGGTGTAACTCGATGGTATCCTCAGTATGTGCTGGATTTATCTCCATTTTTGTTTGAACGATTGGTCCTTGGTTTTGAATAAGGCGAGAACTACAATGGGTTTCGCGGAATAAAGTGGTATCATCATTGTTTATTTCGTTGACTTTTCATCAGCTGCTTACAGCCCACAGCCATTATAAAGTTTGTCTACAAAAACAATTTTAACCTACTTGCACTGAGTTCATTTTAAACAAAATTCAATCGATCAATATATGTATACAAATATATATATATATACATATATATATATATATATATATATATATATATATATACATTATAATAAACAATTTATCTCGAACAATAACGATCATACACAATGGAAACTTTCGTCATTACGTAATCAAATGAAAGAAAGATGAAAGTATCCAGTTACCAGGTTGGCAAAGGAAGACTAATAACCGCTTCTTTTTGAACGCATAAAGCAGGTTTCAGTCACTTGATGGAGATGGCTTCAGCAAACTTGAGGAGAATTTTGTTCTTTTGCTTATTGATAATTTTGAACGATTTCTCGACGTCCACTTCATGAACCATGTCAAGAAGATGCCTGGTAGTGGCACTGTTTAAAGCATTCATTCCTTTTAGACATAAGCTTTTTGGTACATATTCAGAAAATCGTAGATATGCTTTTCTTTCTGTCCTTCCAATGTAACTCCTCACTCAGATACATGTAAATTTGTACATACAGTTGGAGTTAAAATGAGAAGGATATCTATCGATTTTTGATTGCACCAAAGAGCAAGTTGTTCGATACACGGGGACGAGCTTAGCTGCAGGAGAGGCTGAGTCTAGTGATGTACTCAGTCGTCTGCTGATCATTGCTGCAATGTTTTCACCTTTATAATCAAGTTGAATGTAGATTGGCTTTTATTCCATTGTGATTTGCTTTACGCTTTAGACTTAAGATCTTCCATGATTGTTAATGAACCTTTGAGGGTATCTATTGCTCTTCAACATCTTTTCAAGAAACATAGATTCTTCCTCTAATTTCTCTATAGAGCATATCCTCCACACCCTATAGTACAGAGTCTTGCCTAGTCAGCGTTTAAAGCTATTTGGACAAAAACTATTAAAATGTAAGCATTGGCTTTTCCAAGTAGGCTTTCAATAAACTGACTGCCGTCTTCTAGGCGTTGTATGGCATTGTCGAAGAATTGGAACCTTCCATCACTTTCATGTTCCATACTAAATTTAATATTGGCATGTGCGGCATTGAACAATCTAAGTAAGTGTGAAGCATGACTTTCATTGTTACACACTATAAATTTGTGATCGATATATCGACAGTAAGAAGTTGTCTCGTCGATTGCATGCTTCAATTTTGTTCTTTCATGGTTGGACATGAATATATCTGCTAAAACAGGGCTAGGTGAACTGCCCATAGCTACACCATCTAGTTGTCGGTAAAGAGTGTTATTAAATTGGAATTGCACATCCATGGTACACATAAGCAGTAGGTGTTTGAATTCCGACTATGGAAGTGGTTTGTTTGTCTTCTGCGACAGTTCCATTGTTGCCAATCTTTTGTAACTCCCTTTTCTTCAATATGCGGCGATTCAAGGCAGATGTTGACGAGAACGTGAAGTCTGTTTGAAATGTGTTTGGTGATGAAATCATTGGTGAAGTTTCGAAAATCATCTAGTATCACTGACAGCCTTGACATTATTGTTTAGAATGTTGAGTGCACTTTTTTCCTCCGAGTGATAATGGGTTATCTTGCTAATGAATTCTGTGAACTCACTAATTACCCTTTTTCATTCGATTATTGATTTGAATGACGACTATTTTGAATACTATACGTTTCGCTTACAACTTTGTATTTCACATGACTGGCGCTAAATTACTAAGTTTGTGCGTCGGTGGCACAGTGGTTAGGACTCTCGCCGACCATGCATATGGTCCGGGGTTCGAGCCCACGCCGGCGCACACCTGATATCTATGGTCGGCCTGCAAAATTTGGGCTACCGATATCCATGCTGAAAATTCCATACTTGTACCAAAATACGGTGTGGAATCAAGCTGTAAATCAAAAAAAAAAAAACTCGTTGAACTATCACCACATTCCGATAACATGAAAGACACTATTAGTGACTTTGATACAAATTTTTTGTAATTGCTTTGCATTCCGAATGCTTCAAATTAGACCTTTTTAGTTTCAGTAATGAAGGCTAAAGCATATATATTCAACCTTTCCACGTAGTTAAACTCACTACCAGCTAAGTGAAGTTAGGATTGATCTGGTATTGATCTTGAACTATGTAAGTGGTTATCGAGTATTCTACCACTAAACAGTCGACGCCACATATTTTAGCTGTGTTTAATAGTCTATTTCATGAACTCCTCATATTCATTCTTAAAAAAGCTAACTCTATCTTATGTGATTAAGATTCGTTCTGTCGAATAAGAAAAAAAACCGGAGGTGTCCAACTAATTGAAATACTTGAGATCTATTTATTGAAATATTAGTTATGTTGATTCCAAGCAATTAGTAACCCAGTGTAATTGTGTAGAAATTTCAGTAAAAATCATTATTACTAATTAATAAACCAAATTCTAGACAGCGCCAGAAGCTTTAGTTATTATTTCTAAAGAAGAGACATGCATCAGAGCTTGATATCGTATCTGAAAATGAAAGCTTCTCGTTAAAACATTCCCGTATTCACTGCTTCACAGGGAGGGTTAGTAGAGAGATTAGGACCAGGGTAGAAAAACAGACTGGATAAACCAAGTTCGTGGTTGTATTGACGAACTGCCAACACCTCCACCATTCACAAAAGGCGAAACTTGACACCGTTTGTACCATTTGGCCTCACCTTGTAGATAATCTTGAAGGACGGCTCTGATGGAGCTACGTGGCTTGAGTTCACCAAGTAAAATGCTTGAGAATTGAGCTCTCTTCGGCCAGCATAACTAGCTCCACACGAGCAAGTGAATTAATAAACACACCACTCCATTGATCATTTGTCGACTGTAGAAACTGATACGTAGTTCAGCTGTAAAGTAGGCTTTTCTCAGTGATCCGCATAAGCGATTCTTCAAGATCTCAGGTGCGGTATCACTTTTAAATTCAACGGTCTGGGTTCTTTCAGGATTTTCCTTTAACTTATTGTTTTTCTCGATAAATCTTGGAGAATAGTTTGCTTTCATTTTCATAATTATTTCACGATTATCACTTTCATATGTTCCTTTCGTACATTTTCCTTTCACCATCTTCACACTTGTTAAATTGACAATCAACTATCGCCTTCCTTCTCACTACTCAGTAACAATTTTAACCTTATCAAGTTTCTTACTTTTTGCCCGTGAGTACCACGTGTAATTTACAACTTTTATGTTTTACTTCTAAAGCCACTTCTCACCTGCTCCCTCCTATGACTCAATAAGAGACTACTATACATTTTTGGTAAAAATATAAATACGACTGTACAGCATGTGAAGGAAGATGATTTCATCGACGAAGAAAGTTTTCTTCGCTGAATTTTTCTTTAACTTTCTTCATAAATCAAACTGCAGCAGATAAGTAACACGAATTTACAACAAGCGAAAAATTATCGCCAGGCAAAATTGTCATCAGTCAAGTTGAGGCAAGACAGGACAAATAATTACCCTCCTGACAAGTTTTCCTACAATGAGTTAACACGCATATTGCCCAAAAATGAATAATATCGAATTATAAAGTTATGCTTAGAATGAAAAATGGCGGTTTTGCTAATATTCATTGAAACAAATGTCACATAGCATTTCTGTTCAGTGTTCAACTTCAAATTGTCATGAAAAGTAATATTTTAAAGACAGAAATTAATGGACATAGTCTGAAAAGTAGACATATTTTTTGTGAAATAAGCAAAATATGGTGTCAAAGTGAAGTATACTATAGATTGAAACGAGTATTTAAAGCCTGAACACATCAGTCAAGCCATATATCATTAATCCACATCCTGGATTGGTTTGGTTTCAAGAAGACGTCATATTAGAAGCTCTAAAAATTATTGAAGTTAGGAAGTCCAAGAAGCTATGCACCATCTGACTTGTAGACAAAACACTTTTATAACGACTCAAGTTATAATATCGTTTCAGTTAAGGTGTAGTAGAGAATAAATAGAAAGATTATTTAGTTGAAGGTTCTTCCAAATTCTTTGTCCTATGCGATGACGAAGAGAATTGACAACTTTTAAATATATGATTCTGAATAACTGAAGCTTTGATTTTATGAATTTTTACACAACGATTAAAAACTCTGAAATTTTAAGAAGGGGGAAATTGAAAATAAATCGAATGTTAAATCCCTCGCATTCTGCTGTCTATTTCCTCTGATCTATCTTGGTCTTCCCACATCATGTTAGGAAGAAATTATGTTTTTAACGTTCAACGTAAGGAAGTTAAGACCACTCTCAGTAACACTCAGTCTCTGCTTTCTAACTTTGTTAGTTCTTTTTTCTGCCTATCCTTCTTTACTGCTTTCCAACCTCCCTGCCAACTTAATTTTTCCTTCACTACTCAAGACTTTGCTACACTGAGAAAGGGTACTAAAAGCCGTCAGTAGGGCAATTGGAGGGTCAGTAAAACAAACTATTTTAGGTGAACACATCTACTCATACAAGGGATTAGTAAATATTATAATGTCAGACCCTGAGCCTGACGCACACATTTTTAGTTAAAACACAAAAACAACACAGCAAAGAATATCCTTTTCGATAATTTCCTCTTCTGGCTCTACAAT